GTGTTTAATTTAGCAAGATGGATCTTTACACTCTCCTGGGACGTTTATTTCTTCATTAAGATGTCTTGGTGGGCTCCTTGGCACCTTGACATCCCTGATTTGGAGTGCTGGCGTCTCCTGAGACAGGCACATCAAGCAAAGGTCTACATTCTTGTGTCGTGTTGACACATTCATGTTGCCTTCCTTCAAGGCTGGTGGTGCCATGATGCTCAGCTCTTGATTTAAGGAACTGGAACTATCCTTTCTTGGAATAAACCTGAATGCATCCCGTTCCTTGGACGGTGTGTATAACCATTACGGGCTTAGCACTTCTCTTGTAAATAATGGTAATGTTCTCCATTTAAGAGCATGGTTTGTGTTGGTAGACATGTGCTGACTATCAATAGGGAGGGAGTCCAGGGGTGACCTAACCTGTGGTTGACTATAGGAAAGGATGGCGGGGGTGACCTAACCTGTGGTTTGCTGTACATCACTCAAACACTGTAGCGCAAGCACTTCCCAGCGTCAACACAGGTTACACCCTCCACTGGAGACAAAGTGTTGTAATACTTGAGGAGGTGGCGGGTGACGAGATAGATGGAGTGGGGGGTCAGAAGGTAGGTAGAGGCAAAAAAGGAGTGAGGAGGAAAGTAGGTAAGAGGAAATGAAGGGAGGGGGGGGGCAAGGTAATAAAGCAGGTAGGGGAAGAGGAAGAGGGGGAGGAGGAGGCTGTCGCTGCTGTTTTCCTGACATTTTACAGATGAAGTGGAACTCGTGTCGCCAGCTCAGAGGTGTAATTTTAGGCAGAAAATTGTGAGGTGTGATCTGTGGCAATTGTTGAGCTCCGGCGTGGTAAGTGTTAGTGCTGTCCAGACGTAAGTTGAGCGTGTAAGTTTCCAGGAAGGTTAGCGTGTAAATAGTAATGTCCTGAAGACAGACACACACTCTCTAGGAGGAATTGACAAGGTAGATAGGGCAACAAGGTGTCACAGCTGGAACCTGAAAACTCAGATGAGTCACAGGGATGTTAGGAAGTACTGCTTCATTCATAGAGTTGTCAGGAAGTGGAAACAGCCTGGAGAGTTATGTAGTGGAGCATGATTCATACATAGGTCCACACTCCCTCATGCAGCAGGGAGTGGACCTAGATAAGAACACACACACACGTGCTGTAGGCTAAATTAAGTACAAAGGTTGCAGAGGAAGATTTAAGGAGTTTATTACGTGGGAGGAGAAGATAGGAGGGAGGAGAAAGAGGGACAGAGGAAGGATCCAGGGAGGTAGTGTCAATCTGATGACGTCTTACAAGTAAAATTAGGCGATGTTTCCTCTGAGACAGTTGTAATTTACCTTTCACCCATGTCTGATTCACAACCCTCCCCTCCCTTTAATTCCCTCCCATTCACCCTTCCCAATACAAAATCCCCATAATCCCTCTCTCGTTCTTCACTAGTAAAAAAAAAATCATTCAACATTCTCATTATTTTAATAGGGAAGCACTAAACCCAGAGGGAAGGGAAGGTAACCACGTTTAATCTGAGGAAGGGAGGGGTGGTTCCAGTTCCTCGGACCAAAAGCCCTTCACTGGCATTAAGGCAATCCTTGGAAAGGTCACCCTCCTCCCGTCCATCGCAGGCTCATTAGAGTCCCACTAGTGGGAGGAACTAGTGGGACTCTTCACCACCATCAGGGCACTGCTCTCTGAAGGATACATCTGGAATAGGCTCTCTGGTTAGGTATTTGTTTTTTTCAAATTTGTTCGTCTGGAATGAAGTGACCAAACTGGTGCACACACAACAACAAGAATGCAAATTCATCATATCTGAGACTGAATACAAGTCATTCATTTGTCTGTTAACTAATTTTTACAGCACTTGTAATTTTTTTAATGTACAGTACATATTATTTCTGATCTGTAAACAATCTCCCAGATGAAATCATCTGCGTGTCGATTTTTGCAGATGATGCTAGCATTTCTTAACACAATTTGGAGTATTTTCGACATGAATCAGAGCAGTAAAATGTCACATTTTCAAAAGAGTTGTAATATATCTTCCTTTACTTCCTCACCTGTGTGTGCGCCAGTTACCTTCCGGGAGTGTGTGCAGGAACGCATTTCAGTCGCCTTCGCCGACAGTTTATTTTCCACGTTCTTTTTGCAAACTTTTATTCGTGCTGGCCAAGTGCAAAGTCTACACACCAGTATTGGGTGTGAGACGATGTGCACACTTGGAGAAGATTTCAGAAAGCTTTAGCAAATGGAAGCGCTTAAGTTATCCCTTCAGATATACCAAAACGAACAGCAGAATTATAGACTTGCCAGATTCCCCTGTTATTTGTTATGCTGACTGGAGGGTAGCTGAGAGAGATCAACATCTAAAGAAGTGCAAATAGCGACAGGACGGGTGCTGAAGGTCCCACCCTGCCTCAGACTTGGCACAAATCCCGCCCCGCTGGAAAAGGTTATGTGAGGTGCCGTGAGGAGAGCGACAGGGAAGAGCCTCTTGGCGAAGGTAAACATAACGTGTATGGAGAGTCAGCTACTGACCCAGAGCTAGCTAGCTACCTTACAAGAACCTCCATCCCTGCCAGACACCAGGAAGGATCTCTCTCTGACTCGCACACATACAGACTTCCGTCTGTTTTTAATTTTTTCTTATTGTTGCTGCTGGTCTTCTAGTATATATATAATATATATAATATATATATATATATATATATATATATATATATATATATATAATATATATATATATATATACATATATATATATACACACACATAACACACATACAAAATTGCGGTAAAGTGTTGGCAAGAGTTGTGGGATTAAAAGGTTACGAATCTAATACGAGGTGGGAGTTGTCACTGCTGTTGTTTGCTGATGACAGTTCTATTCAGAGTCTGAAGTGAAGTTGCAAAGGTTAGTGGACGAATTTACGATATTCTCTAAAAGGAGGGAAATTCAGATCAAACAGAAAAGATCAAGGCGATGAGAGTAACACAGTGATTTCTCACACACACACACACACATATATATATATATATATATATATATATATATATATATATATATATATATATATAAAATATATATATATATATATATATATATATATACGCAAAACAATCACTGTGAAAGAATAGTGAAATTCCAAGCGCTTTCGTAACTTCTCACATTATCAAGGAACTATATAGTCCCTTGATAATGTGAAGAGTTGGTCCTCCATTATCTGTTAAAACAACACCGTCGAGGAATTGATTCTCATAGGATTTGAACAGTATCCAGGGGAATTTTGAGTCATTCCTCAAGCAAAACCTGCTGTAACATATAATTGTGTGTACCAGTGTTGTTTCCTACAGGTAAAGCAGATGAACTACCACAATTATTAAGAGCTAAGAGGCACGCCGAGCACGGTACTCCGGGCGACCAGCGAGAAGCATGCACGGAAGTACATTTGGACATTCAGACCGTAATTACGGAGGCCAAAGGTCCCTCCAGCGGCCGCTATTGTCGGCAGGCGAGAGGAACCGCCTGCTGGGGCGATGCCTCACACTGGGCCGGCCTTCTGCCTCGTTGCTCCCGGGTTTTTAACTCGTCTACCGAAGCCTACTGACGCCTATGCATCTCTTGTGGGCGGCCTACCTGGGGATCAGAGGCGGCAGAACTCACACCTGCCCTGAGATAATGAGAGGACCGCGAGGGAGGCTGCTCAAGCCGGAAATGGTGACATCAGGAGAGGCAGTTATGGGCAGTGAGGCGAGGTGATGATGCCCTGGACAGGGAGGGAGAGAGAGAGACAGAGATAAAGGGAGAGGGACTATATGATGAGCACCAAAGTTAGGTATTTACAAGGTAATATTCACTTTACATTATAATAAAAAAGAATTGCTAAACCTACAAGGGTCATTCACTTTATAACGATCTACTGATCTTTCATATAATAGGGTGGTTCACTGGCACAGATACACCAAAAGTTGCTCAGTCAGTCAGCTGAGCATTATTATGCAAGCCCTTGCGGTACTAGCCACTGATCCTGAGAAAGAAAACACCAAGAGCGTCGTTGAATCAGTATTTCGCACCAATGGAATTAAAATGGAGAGAGGAAATAAATCTTTCTCACGAGTATTGATCACATATACGCAAGTTTTTCGATAATAATATTGATCATTACTACCAAAATATTATTAGTACATATTAGTCCAGTATAATTATAATTAGTTCAGTATAATTATACACCTCACGACGTGATGTTTTGAGTGGCACCTTGATCCACCCTTCAAGGAAGAAGTCGAGACAATTGAAGGGTTCTTAACCTAAGGAACTAGAACTACTCTTCCCTTCCTCGGCAAAACTATACTGCCCATCACTCATCTTCCCCTCCCCAGGATACTGTGTTACCCTTAGGGTTTTAACGCCTCCTCACTAGTGAAATGCTTATCTGATAAATTCTAGATTTTCCCCATAAAACCTGAATTATAATTACATATGTAATAGGGGGGTTTGCCTCTGGTGTGAATAATGGGGACCCACAGCCTCGGTGAGGTTTGGTATCCACGAGTGAACGCTAAACCCAAAGTGTCGTGATATACCGTCAGGGGAAAAGGAGGGAATCAGATTCGATTGAAGGAAAGACAACGCCTCAGATTCTTTGGATTAAGAACCATTCACCTGCATGAAGGCGCTTCCATGGAAGAGATACATTAGCTTAAAGACATAGCATAGTAAACTTTGATTTGAAGGAGGTTTCGCGCACAGATGAACTTTTACAGGATTTGCAGACGTTGATCTGTGAGCGAAACATCTTCATGAAGGTTCATTCTTTATACTTCCAGTTTACGCTTATATCGATCTTAATTGTTTACCTTATATATTAGACATCCTGCGTTTCCTCATTTATACGTTTATCCATGTGTTTCGTTATACATTATACACATCCATGTGTATCATATATATTTCTCTTCTTCGGTGTTCTCTTTTTGCATCATAACAATGCAGATTTTGGACTAAATTTTGCAGTTCTACATTCTGCAGGAACGTAGTGATGACTCGGTCTTCTGAAGAGCAGAAAATCGACCACCAGATCGCCCTTCCCAACATCAGGAACTACCCAGACAACTCTGCGCCCATGGAGTCCGAGAACCACAAGGATGACGACGACGACGACGACGAACGACTAGACGTGGTGGGAACGACAGACTCTCACAGCGACGCGCCGCACGGTCAGTACCTCGCTGGCTCCCAAGAGTTTAGTGATTCGCATTAGCGCTGTATAGCTCCTTCGGTTTAGCGTTTGTTTCTGATTATAATAATGAGAACGAGCATATCACATAGTAGTAGTAATAATTAGTCACACTAATAAGGTTCTTGTTTTAGGGCGCTCTACTTAGTGAGAGGTGGTCCGTGTGGTTAAAAAAAATTTACATTGATGACACCTCACTAGTTTGAATGACTTTTTTTTAGTCCATGTTGTGTTAAACTCGTGTGGATCATTCCGCGCAAGGGCGGATGGAGGCTCGATCCTCCGTCTGCTAATCATGAGACTTGACTCTCTTGCGGCCAGCCAGGCTAAGGGAACCTTTTTAAACATTACTAAGTAATAAAGTTTGGAGAGTAAGAGCTTCAGTAAAGTACAATTGTTGCGTTTTTATGAGACGTTTACCAGAGACGCTGAAACTGACGTACATATCTTGTGGTCAGTGGGTCATGTTTTGTACTAGGCGAGGACATTTTGAGGTCGTCAGGAGATGTAACATGTTTTTTTGTTCCAGCAGAATTGATGGACTCTGACGTGTCTGGGGAGGAGACAAACAACAACGCTGCCGATGACTCCGGTAGAGACTCCGTGAAGCGGAAGAGCGATCTGGACTCCGACATGGACGACCCGGGGTCTCTGGCGGCGCTGAAGAAAGCGGCGCCCGAGAAGGACGAACCTTCCAGTTCCAGCGGTTCCGACCCAGCGCCTAACATCAGCGTGGGTCCGCCCTTTCAGCCACCCCACCTCCTACCCTACTTGTACCCCCATGGCCTCTACCCAGGGACACAGGGCTTGGCGGGACTTCCTGGTCTCATGCTTCCCGGCTCCGGTACAGGTCTGAGTCCACACAGCTTACAGCTACCTTTACTGGGGTCCGGGGCGGGGGCGCCGCCCCACGGGTCATCGCCATTATCTCCGCCCACGTCCCTCCCTGTGGCCCATAACCTGCTGCTGGCTCACAACCTGCTGGCTGGCGCCGGCCACCACCTGCTAGGCACACACACGTACCAAGGTCTTGCGGGCCTGGCCGTGTCATCGGTGGGTAGTGGGTGTGGCAGTGGCTCCCTCAGTGCCGCCCCGCCTACCTCCTCCTCACCGGCCGCCCCGTCACCTCTGCTCCCTGACCGCCTCAAGCCGCCTCGCTTCACCCCTTACCTGCCCTCGTCTACCGCCGCTTCCCTCTCTTCCATGTTGTCGTCGTCATTGTCGTCGTCGTTGTCATCGTCCTGCCTCACGCCCACGCTCTCCTCCTCTCTGCTAGGAGAGACTCCGCTGGGTGGGTCTTCAGCATTCCAGGCGGTGAGCCCCAAGGCGGGGTCACGTCTGGAGGAAGGCGTGCGCCGCTCCGCCGCACACGCCGCCTCCATAGCCCATGCCGCCTCAGTCGCTTCAGAACTCAAGTCGATCGAGAAGATGGTGAACGGGTTGGATCGTCGTCCTGACTTACCAGATCCACTCAAATTGGCTGATAAATGAGGGCGGGCCCCAAGAGCCGCTTCTGGTCACCTGCACACCCATTTGGTGGCCGTCCACGCCCTCAGTGGCGGCTCGGTCTGCTCCTCTAATCCACTTTAGCCCCCCTACCTTCTCCACCGGCCCGGGACCTGGCTACCGCGGATCAGAGAAAAAACAGAGAGCGGATGGGAGCCCGCACGACCCCCAGGTGAAGCTCAGGATAACCTAGATGAGTGTCAGCAGAGCCAAGGAGCTGCTTTGGGGCAGGGGCTGGCTGCTGGGGCCGCCCTGCCTCGTCCTCCTTAACGCTACCAGTGCAAATAAGACATGGGACACCTCAAGGCGTGCACAAACACCCAGTTCGGCGCTGTGTGAAGGTCGGCAGTGTGTCGCATATTGCACGTGTATATAGTCCGTAAAGCTACTTGTTAGTAGAGCGTATACCAAAGAGCGGACCGACAGCAGCTGTTTTGCGGGTGCATGTATGTGTGAGTGGATGCGTGCGTGTGGACCATGGTTCAGTTGTGTGTACAGTGTCGTTTGTACAGATGGATTAGAACATGGGAGACATAGCAGCGCTAAAATTCATAAACTCGAAGAAAAACGAAATGATATTTGAAAACTCTGATAAGCTGCAACAAAAAGCAAAATAATATTTAACCTTATCAGTGCTTGCGTTAAGGTGGTCTTCCCAGACAGTGAAAATGACGGAAACTAAAGACCCGCCTCTAGTGTTGACCTCTGAAGAGCCCATAGTGTTAGGGCTCCACTCACTGGGCGATCTGTGTAGAGGATAAACTAACGGAGCTTTGGAGGTCTGAGACGAGAAGCAAAGCTCTCGCCAACGTGTGTGTAACCTAAGCCTGTTACCTCAAGGTCGCTACACGACGGCTAGCGGCCCAGGGAGGCGTTCAGGAACTAACCTTTATTACATAAATGAAAACCAGCGAACTCTACTTAAGGTAGTTTCCCAGTGCACCGCTAGAGGGCACTGGCTCCCCCCGATGGCGGGGGGGTAATGGAAATATTATGGTGCTTTCTTTTCTCTGGGTGTCTTCTTGTTTTCATTTTAATAAACCTACCTACAATGACCTAAATCCATACCTACTACGAACACTGGATATTTTTGACGCGCGACGAGAGGTACGAAGCTGTTAAGAGCACGACGAATCTCAGAAAGAAGTCTTCTACCCTCCCTTCCCCCCCCCAGACCCTGTTCTTCCCACCGTCTGGAGGCATCCCAAGCACAGGTCGGGATCTCAAGAATGCATATGTAATACAAGACTGCAGCAAGGTTTGCAGGATGTGATCCTCTGGGTGAATATTCCAGGACAGTCATGCGCCCCAGAGCGACGTTTCGCTCAACGACGGACCGCATATACGACGGTGGTGTATTTGTGACACCGTTCGCCATCACCCCCAGTGGGAATGTCAGTATTTCCAGGAAATACTGAAACCCCCCCGGTCATACAGCACCCGGGGGGGATGAGATGTAATCAGGTTTAATCCACGGGAAGGAGAGGGGGAGGGGGTAGCTCCAATTCCTTGGATCACGAGCTTTTCAGCATCGGTAGCCCACAGTGTGACCTGGTGTAGCTAGAGTTCATCTGTGATGATTTCAGGATTCGGTGCCAGTGCGTCATCAAGATTCATCACCAGAGAACCTCAGGTTAATTGCTGACCTCGTGAGTCATTACTAGTGTGGCCTTGTGGGTCATTACTGTGGCCCTGTGGATCATTACTAGTGTGACCTTGTGGTCATTAGTGCGACCTTGTAGGACATTACTAGTGACTTTGTAAGTCATTAATAGTGACCTTGTGGGTCATTACTAGCATGAGCTTGTAGGTCAGTAGTGACTCTGGAGTCATTACTAGTTTAACCTTGGGATAATTATTAATGACCTTGTAGGTCATTAGTGTGATCTTGTTGGTCATTACTAGTGACTTTAGACAGTGTGACCTTTCAAGTCGTTACTAGTGTGACCTTGTGAGTCATTTATTAGTGACCCCTGAGTCATTGCAAAGGTGATTTTATGTATGGTGCAGCAGTGATTGCCATGGCTCAACAGTGATGACCATAGCCCAACAGTGATGAGCATCTCAACAGTGATGAGCATGGCTCAACAGTGATGAACATGGTTCAGCAGTGATGACCATGGCTCAATAGTGATGAGTATAATTCACCATGACTCTTAGGCCTACTCCCACAGAACCGTCAGGTCAACACCAGACAGCCAGTCCGCCAACATCTGTGATTTCTGAATCCAATAATAATACTAATATCAACAACAACAAAAATCGGGTCGAGCCGAGTCCCTCTAAGGGTCATACAGCGCCTGATCCAAGGGTAGCTCTAGTTCCTTGGATCAAGAGTCTTACGTAAACTTCACGTCACCTCCCCACCTTCATTTCCCGAAGGGTTTTAACTGCATTATTTAATGGCCCACATTTAAAAACCTTTTCGTTCACCTGTCAAGCAAGTGGACACAGCTGGGCCATGTTTACATTCATCTCCCACATGTCACACTACCTGGTGGACGTTCCAGTCATTACCCAATGCAAGTTGATTGTAAAAGTCTTATTTTTTCTCTATAGAATTAATGACAGATTCCAGCTGTTAAAATTGTCTATGATTTTGACGCAGAGATCACATGGTTGGCGGACTCATTAGGAGAAATTCATTATTTTGTACTAATGTGGGTTGCTTAAAAAGTAATATATATATATATATATATATATATATATATATATATATATATATATATATATATATATATTCCGAAATCAAATACCCAGTGTCATGTTGGCCAACACTTCCAGCCACCAGTAACTAGAGAAGACATGTTAAGGAACAATGATCAAGCACTGAGCCTCGGTGTTTGTCATATACATTCACAACTATAAACATAATATTCTCTTAAAGTGAACAAAAGTGTGATTTTTCTTCCTTTAAGGATATTTTCCCGGATTATTTGTATTCCTGGCGCCACTGGTACCGCAAAACCCTCGCATTACCATAATATTCTGTCTCTGACTCTCTCTCCTGTCTGTGTGGGAACTTCCCAGGTGTTCTGGTGGTAGGTGGCAGCACCCTTTCCTCCCACCATTATTTTCAGTATATAACCCCAACAACGCTCCGGTCATAACCTTCCCTCCCTCCCTCCCACTGGAAAAAAGACGTCTGCCATCTTTACCGTCACACCACAAAGCCTTTTCGATATTTCACACTTGAATTAACTTCTTAAACGTTACAAATCTTTCAGCTTTTGCGAAATTAGACAACCAGTCTTGTCCCTATTCCTTACACTAGCCTTCAACACGATTCATTTGCAAGTCGCGAACATGACTAACCGAGACCTGAGTTAATGAGAAGTGTTTCCAACGGCAACTGTTTGCCCTGGGATGGCATCTGAATGTTCACTGACTAGCGTTTGTTGACTTATCATGGATACATTCCTTCCTAAATCCCTTCACTCCAAGACCTAGCGTGATGTCTAATTCCACCTGATCCCGGTAACTGACTGACTTTTTTTTTTGCATCACGGTTACTTTTTGGTTATTGAGAGAGAGAAATTGTGTCGAGTGATTCTCTGATGGGTCATAAACCTATACTCTGCAGAGGGAATATGAGCCATACAGTATTGCCTTCCAAGTATTTGAAGTCACATCAAGTATTTTGATATTTTTATATTACATACGATTTCTTGATAATTATTACAGTTTATAATTGTTTTTACTAAATGAAAAAGAAGCATGATTTTGTATACGTGGTTGTCATATGCCTAAATTTAATGGAAAGTACATTGTATCCTATTTTTCCCGTCCTATTTTCTAAATTATTTGGGTGCTGCACTCTAGCCACCACGACACCTGCCCATGTCCAACATAGCTAAGTTGTCGAAGGTAAATACAAATCCTGTTTTGGCCAGCGATGCGATTATTGGTTTGTGCGTTCTTGGAGCTTTTGCCTGTACTCTCCACTGATTGGCTATTTGTTAACAATTTGTGAGTTTTTTGTAGTGAACCAAATCTGTACTTAGAATGCAAGAACTGAGCCTACCAGAAAAAATCCATAGGAATTTGTCTATTTACCAGCGAGATCGTGGCTTCCCCGTGGTAACTCTTAAGCAAAAACGTGAAACCATGACCGGGTCCTCATCCCTCTTTTTTAATAATAATGGCACATTTTTTCCCTTTATTATCATTGTCATTTTGTTATTATATTCTATTTCACACCACCCACAGCTCTTACGTCATCCACACGTCATCATCAAAACACAAAGCTCGTGCCCTTAGGAATCACTTGTGTAAAAAATATAAAGAAACATTTACCTTTCTGATTCATGCCCTCATCTCATACCATGTATATTCACCCTCATCACCTCATGTTATCCCATCACCTGGTCATGACGTGTGTTTCCCAGTGAATAGCGATGCTATGCGCACCAGTGTTCAGACGCAGGCTCCTCGCAGGCCACGACATGCAGAAGCACTCTCAAAGACAAACTGCAAAGCTTCGTCCTGCATCTCACGTCTCGCCTCAAACTCTAAACGAAGTTATCGACTCATTCGAAAGATGTAAAAATCCTTAAATATATTCACGCAAGCCAGTTTGTATATCCGAAACCTGTTTGCTGGTGCGAAATTTTGTAACAGACATCAAATGTTGCAAAAGTTCTTTGAAAGTGCTTGGTTGTCCTGCCTGGAGCTCGCCTTTCCCTCCGTGACGACGTCGGTGGAACGCATCTTCGAGAATAGATATTGATAATATTAATTAAATAGTTGTGTATTTATTTGGTTATTCTGATGTAAATAATAATTACGTTCTGGTCATGTCTGTACTGTATGAAAATATACTCTTTTTGAAGAAATATTTTGTGTTTATATCGACCCTCAACTGAGATTTATTGGGCTGAATCTGTTTCATATATGTAACTGACGCTGAATTACGAAGATATATGTAAAATTAAATTGTATTCCTGTATTAAATTAGACTGTTTCTCTGGGCGAACATAACCCAAGAATGGAGGAACACTGCAGCAGCAGGCCTACTGGCCCATAGTAGGCAAGTCCTCCTCCAATACAAACCTTCCAGCTGAAATTTTTTTTTTATCTGACAACCCTATTAACCTATGCTGTGCAGGTCCCTTAACCCCTGCTGTGCAAGTTTCTTAATAAACTCTGCTGTGTAAGTCCCTTAATAAACCCTGTTCTGCAAGTCCCTTAATAAACCCTGCTCTACAAGTCCCTTAATAAACCCTGCTCTACAAGTCCCTTAATAAACCCTGTCTGCAAGTCCCTTAAAATAAACGCTTCATGCAAGTAACCTTTTAAATCCCTTACTCTACTAAAAAAAATTGTCCACTTATCAAAATACTGAAAAGATTCATGATCGGAGAAATTTCACAATTCTGTTGTGACAAACTAATTACCATACTAAAAACATAATTAATAGCTTCGAAATGTGACTTAATACACAATAGCGGGTGTTTGCCATGATCACCAGATAGTGTATACGTAATCTGCTCTACAACAGTGCTTATCACTTAGGCTATAAACCATCTGTTTATGCTTGATAAATACCCTTTGTAAAAATGTATAGTTAATACATACCAAGGTGTGTATGTTCATGTATACACTCAAGAGTGTATATGTTTCATCACATATTACCAAATGCTTATCACTTAGTGTATACACAGTGTTTTATATGTATTGCATACATATATATATTTAGTACAAAAAATGTACAATATATCAGTATTATATAAATTAATATAATGTATAATATATATATATAAAATATATATATATATATATATATATATATATATATATATATATATATATATATATATATATATATATATATATACAATATATAAAACGTGTGTGTGTGTGTGTTAAGTTCTTTTAAGAACCCTCAGAAATGGATCCAAGTTGGACAAATTTGCATTTTGGAAGGATATAAGTACTGGTTTGGCAATAGAATTGTAGATGAATGCAACAAACTCTCAGACAGCATCACTGAGACGAGAACTTATAGCCAGCTGGAAGTAGGATGGGCAGTTATGCATGGATTTGGTAGCTGTAGGCCATTAGGCCTACTGTAATATACGGGTGAACAACATTTTTAATGTTCAGTGTATAGGCCTTAAACCAATCAAACCAACTTTCAATGTTGATATCCATCGAATTTTAACGGCGCAGCGCCATTAATTAGCATGTACTATCCACTTGCGCTGGATAAACATGTACACTGGGAAGACAACGCTAGGAGTCCCGGTCAGTAGCGTTTAACAAGCAGGGAGTGTGCAAGCCACCACTCCCTGACTCTCGTGCAAGCCTACTAACGACCCGCAACACAGATTAATTAATACTACATACATATATTCAAGCCATGCGGTGACAAGTTTTTTTTTTTTCTTTTGCATATTGGAGCCTATGCTTACTAAAACTTTTTTTTTTCCCTAGTGTCTTTTATTCTTTATTGCTGTTGAAAAATTGCACTTTCGTAAGTTATTTTCTGCTATACAAGTCTGTGTTATAGTTCTTATATTTCAGGTGTCATCGATTCAGTTATATGGCATTTTACTGTAAAGCTAAACACCAACGCTCAAGAGTTTTATGAATAAAAGATATCGCAATGTCTCTTAGGTGAGCTACTTCAAATATATATATATATATATATATATATATATATATATATATATATATATATATATATATATATATATATATATATAATATATATATATTATATATTGTAACCACGAACGAGTGGTATTGATCAATAACAACACTGCGCTAGCCAAGGATTCGAACCCATGTTGTACTGGCCTACCTCATGGTAAGCGAGAACCACATGACGCTTTAAACCACAGGACCTGTGGTTTAAAGCGTCATGTGTTTCTCGCTTACCATGAGGCAGGCCAGTACAACATGGGTTCGAATCCTTGGCTAGCGCAGTGTTGTTATTGAGATATATATATATATATAACTAGAAAAAGCACCAAAGCGTAGGTCGGTGTAACTAGAAACCGTCTTCAGGCGATACTAAACTAGCTGGAAGGAAAATGAGCACTGAAAGAGCTACAAGCAATGGAACATAAGTGCTGAGCACTGCAGTAGACGTACTGGTCCATGCTCACTGACTCCACCCATCAGCGGGCCCACTACTCTACAACTCTACTGCTAAATGAACATTTTCCATTTATTTCCATATATGAAATAATCTAGCTTAAATTCATCAAATACGTAATGTACGGGTGGCCTAATATAACATTTACGGAGGCCTCTGGTTTACCTTTTGCTGGTCAGTTATCTTGCTTGAAGGTTTGTCAAGTTTGAAACATATACAACAGTGGATCGACATTCATGTATACAGCACTGAAATTGGTAACCGTACCAGTTGTAACCAATTCCCTTATCTTCCTCTGCTATATGTAGCTGACCCCCCACCACACACACACACACACACACCTCAATTAAGAACATAAGAACATAAGAACGAAGGAACACTGCAGAAGGCCTACTGGCCCATGCGAGGCAGGTCCAAGTCTCCTACCGGCTTAAGCCAATGCACCCAACCTAGTCAGGTCAGGTCACATTGACTTAAGGGAGGAACACGGCAACCGACCTGGTAGCACAAGCTATCAGGTCTATTTCACACCCACCCACATCCACTCATGTATTTATCCAACCTATTTTTAAAGCTACACAACGTTCTGGCCTCTATAACGGTACTTGGGAGTTTGTTCCACTCATCCACAACTCTATTACCAAACCAGTACTTTCCTATATCCTTCCTGAATCTGAATTTTTCCAACTTAAAACCATTGCTGCGAGTCCTGTCTAGGCTAGATATTTTCAGCACACTATTTACATCCCCTTTATTTATTCCTGTCTTCCACTTATACACTTATACAAAAGCAAATTCCTTAAGTAGGATGCAACGTAACTTCAGCGCTGAACTGAAAGCATTGTTGTACTGATCGCTTGTCCTAATTTACTTAAATTCACTTTCCACTTAAGGTTTCTTTTAAATACGGGCTCCAAAAAAAACAAAAAACAAACAGAACTATCTTCTCGTTAATTAAGACAATTTCTAGAGGCATTGTGTTTTTTAGTACCATTCCTCGGGGCTAGCTTCTTTGTTTCTTCCATGTTTAGGTCTCAGACCGAGCCGCGGGGGCGCTGACCCCCAAAACTCTCTCAAGGTATCTCCAGGTATTGCATTCAGAGAATTTTATTTGCAAACTAAAAGATGTTAACCTTGAGATATATCGGTAAGTTTTGATGTGGACAGTTTGTTCAGTCGAGTTCCTGTTATAAATGCGACTGAATTTATACTGGCTCCCTTACCTTCATATGTCAGTGACTAGTTAATGGTCCAGGTCAGTCCGAAACATCGTCGTAAGCTTCTACGTGCAGGTTATTTGTGTATTGTTCCAGGTAAACGGTATTGTGCCTCTTTGTTCCTTGAATACCCATGAATGGAAGGGATATTAGAATAACCTAACAAAGTAAACGCTGAATAAACTGAACGAACCTGGAAGGTAACGCAGGTCAACTCCCAACATGGATTCAATACTAATGAAGCTGATCCTCTAGAAATCAAATACTAAGCGCGGCTACGGGTTAAGAGGTGGACCCAGGAGCTGGAGGTCACACCTCACAAACACAGGTACGTACAAATACAAACGCGTATGTCATATCATACATATCTCACACATATGTATCAGAGGTATTTACATATGCAGTGTATGCAAAACGCGACAATGCATTCAAGACACGAGAGCACTTGAGTGTGTCTAGTAAATTTATGGTACCGTTTTTTAAGTCATGTGATCAGTAATTTAACTCTGAACCTCACAATAACGTGAAGCGAATGTGTGTATGTGTGTGTGTGTGTGTGTGTGTGTGTGTGTGTGTGTGGTGTGTGTGTGTGTGTGTGTGTGTGTGTGTGTATCAGTGATTGTCTGTCTGTGTCTGTGAAAGACAGACTGAAAACCAAGAACACTGCAAATGTAGAAATAATTAAGGTTCTAAAATCCCTAAATGCTCAGCGTATTTTGCGTAAATAAACTCGTAATAATTGAACGAAAAAAACTTTATGACATTCTAATGACGTAATTTAATAAAGCTGCAGCAAGGAGAGAGCACAAAGTTCTCCAATTATTTTGTTCCACTTGTCCGAGGTGGACTGTATGAAGAACAGTTCTGGTTCGGGATATTTGTGAGGAAGAGCTAAACACGTAGGGGGTTATAATACAGCGCCTGGGAAACACCAGGTAATCAGGCTTGATTCAAGGAAAGGGATAACTCCTATTCTTTGAATCAAAAGCCCTTCACCGGTATCAAGGCAACTTACCCCCCCCCCCTTAAAAAGGGGGAATTGGTAACAAAAATAGTTTGCAAAAAAAATAAATATTTCATAGTGAAATTCATTATTTTTTAAAGTGATAAACGTTGTATATGTTGTAAGTAAAAAGTATATTTTTAATTATACAAATTAATAACCATTTCTATAATTGCTCTTAATTATAATAACTCTCAGGGTTCGTACTTTGCATAGTTATTAAATTCAGTTATGGCGGTGTTTATTCTTCTGTTTTAAGGAGATTTTGTTCCATTATAAATGTGCAAGTTAATTTTGCTTTGCAAATTAAACAAACGTCCATTTTTCCCCCAGACATTTTTTTCATATCCTTACAGACAAAACCCCTCAAGGGAGGTTCCTTAACTCTGGTGAGGGGCTCTTGTTCTAGGGAATTGGATCTGTGCTCCGGTTCCCTGAACTGAGCCTGAACACCTTCCATCTCCCCTCCCCACAAGCACTGTATAATCCTATGGGTTTAGCGCTCCCCCGTGATC